AATGAGGAATATTCGGTAAACAATTTCACTACTAAAAACTAAAAACAAGAAAATAAAAATCGGTAAAAAAACTTTTAAGTTAAACGGTTTTATTTTATGTGCACTGAAAACTACAAAATAAATAAATAGTTACTTACCTATCATCCTACGTAGGTGATCTCGGTCATTAATATCTCTGATGGTAGTGGTTGTCATAGCATGAACCATGTCAGCGGCCGAAAGGCAGTTCATGAGAGAACACTGACACCAGGGTTTGCTTGGTAGGTAAACTAAGCAGCCCACACTATAACAAGTAGGTATTTTGACCTTCTAGTTCAGAAATATTTTAGTACTAGGCAGAATAGCTTTTAGGCATATTAGACTAAAATAAAAACGTGGGGCCCATTAACTATTTCTGTATTACTTTCTACTATACTAAGTGTGGATTGCATCGACTTATTATAATCGTCATCATCATCATCCTAGCGGTTTATCCCGGTCGCATCCGAAACCTCATAGCTCCGGAGTCCAGGGTCCGCTGAATCGACTTACTATAATCGTTACTGGAGGTTTTGACCATCAATAACCAGCCGTTACGGCTTCACCAGCGAACGCTGAGCTCATGATCTACCAAAGTATAAGATATGCTCTGCTATAGGTATGATTTCAGAGGGGCCCCACGTTTTTATTTTAGTCTAATATGCCTAAAAGCTATTCTGCCTAGTACTAAAATATTTCTGAACTAGAAGGTCAAAATACCTACTTGTTATAGTGTGGGCTGCTTAGTTTACCTACCAAGCAAACCCTGGTGTCAGTGTTCTCTCATGAACTGCCTTTCGGCCGCTGACATGGTTCATGCTATGACAACCACTACCATCAGAGATATTAATGACCGAGATCACCTACGTAGGATGATAGGTAAGTAACTATTTATTTATTTTGTAGTTTTCAGTGCACATAAAATAAAACCGTTTAACTTAAAAGTTTTTTTACCGATTTTTATTTTCCTTTCGGATACTATTTCTCAGGTAACAGCTACAGACTTCTTCAAAGTTTACTCCATACATTAGAACCTTTCTTAGAGAATTTGATCTTACAATTTTTAACATTCACTGTCTCGTCTAGATGGTAAATAGTTCTAAGTCTTTGTGTTCAGAAACTACGGATTCCTGCCTTTTAATACTACTTATATTGAGATCAATATCAATTCTACCAATGCAGTTAAATTGAAAAATGATTTCATTCTGTTTTCTGTATTAATCATTATACAAGTAATCTTTAAAAAGATAAATTGTACATACCTTTATAGTTTATGTTCTATTAGGCAGATATACTAAATACCTAGATTTTGGCTATGTAAATAATATGTGCTAATGTCTATCAGCTGCAGGCGATGATTAATTTTACAAACTGTTATAAATTTTATAAAATGTCATACAATTAAAATAAATATTCTCAGATTGTCTAATCTGAAGTCTTCAAGTGTAATTTCCATATAATCGCGATAAAAAATTACAAGAGGTGCAAGAGTAACTTTGTAGTCCCATATGATTAAAATTTAAAACAAAATTATTATGCAGTTCGAGTATCTAAAAATAGAACTAAAATTTCGGTATGTTTTAGTTTGGACTTAATTTATGAACTAAAAATAATAAAGTTGAAAATTTGAAATGCTTGCTAGAAATACCTGAATGTGTCAATTACAGTCAGTCAGCGCAGACTAAGGGTTAAAATTGATTGTAATTTGGAAACATACCATATTATATTATGTCCGTTTGGTCTCTGAAAATACAGGCGTTTAGAAATATCTACAAAAAGTTACAGGGTTACGAAAATGTCACAAATAACTTCCAGAAAAGGATAGTACAGCAGTACCCTCGCCAAATGAGCAAAATAAACAAAAAACGTCTGTTTTGGCAAGTTTCCATTACAATCCCAATGTAACAGTTTACCAGGATACAATAAACGATAAGAGTGTCTTAAAAATACGGTTATTGCTTTTGTCTATTCTATTATTTACCTTCCTCGCAATGTATTAAGATTGAAAAAACAATTTTGGCGTCGACTTAAGAGTCTATACGATTTCATTCATAAGGAAATGTGCCAATATGTATAGGTACGTATAATGTACATTGCGCATGTTCAACATTTAATAAAAACAAGGGGTAAACATCGACAAAATACCAGGTCGTAATAAATTTAAAAGAGATTATATCATTGCCTAGAAGTTAAAAGTAACATACAGTTACTTGCTTGCTTAACAATTGTTTGCTTAATAATGAAACTTAGAAAGTCTTTATACAAAATTAGTTACAAATCTAAATATCCCATTAATTACTCGATTATCGAGTACTACAATTGGACATCGGCAGACTGTCTTTTAGTCAGATCATTTATTACTTTTTCATTTATTTTTTGTTATAAATGTTTTATTAAAACAAACTATACATAATAATAGCTACTATGAATGGCAGAAATATCTAAAAATACTAAAATTGAAAATACAATACTGATATCTATTCAACAATCTATAATTATTACAATTTTATTTATAAGGAAATGTATGTAATGTAACTTTAACTATGCTTTCGTAACCGTTAAAAATAAAGGGTAACAACAAAACCTAACATGTAAAAATGCAAGTCGCGTAATGCAGTTGCTCTACCGTAAAAACTTGTGGTAGCTAATGTAAAACCGAATCAATGTAAGGAAGCGGCTATCCAGTAATTTTGTTGTAAATTATTACCTTAGATTATATAGATATAGTGTCTCCATAGAAATGCTTCAAGAAAAACAGGTCAACTTTTTCATACAATTTTGCGTGATAAATAGCTATATCCTATCCTTTATAACTGCTATATTTATTTAGTCTTATAAATTCTGTATATTTTTATTGCGTGAATACTCATTTTATTTACTAAATAATACGTTAAGATACATTTTATGCGTAAGTATATAGAATACTGATAAAAAAACGAGTCAGCTAATTTGACAATTAGGTGACAAAAAGTTAAGCCGTTTTTGAAGCTCGAGGCTCTATATATATAATCTAAGAATTATTACCTCATTAATTAACTAACAACATTTTATAAAGACTGTATCAATATTATATTTACTTTTTTTTTATTAAATAGAAGACCATCGCAAGAGGCAATATTTACATAAGATTTATCTATTATATTTTTAGATAGTTCGAATTGAACATTACGTAAGCTGTAAAAAAAAATATTTTTATTTTACGACTATTGATAATGTATCTACAAAATTCTGTTATTAAAATAATAGATACAGAAACAAATGAAAAATACGTCTATTTTGGTATAAAAAAAATAACATAAATTCAAAACGCAATGTAACAGTCTACCAGGCTATTATAAACGATAGGAGTATTTTAAAAATACCGGTGTTTCTTTTGTCTATTCTAATATTTACCTTCTTTACGTTGTATTAAGATAAAAAATACAATTTTGACGTTTGCTCAAGAATCTATAATGGTTAAGATTTCAATCATAAGGAAGTACGTGGTGTAATGTAGCACTGCGCATGTCCTACATCTAGTAACAAGGAGTTGTAATAAAATTAAAATAGCTCATATTGTTGCCTAGAAACTAAAGAAATATATGTAAGTACAGTTTGTTTCGTAATAGAACATGATTAATAGGAAACTGAGTTTTATTGAAAATATCACAGAAACAGTATTTAATTGAAGTTAATTACAAATCAAATTAAGTATTTGATTTTTGGTCGGCTCGGTCTTTTGTTTGTATTTTCAACGTTCTTTCGAAACAGTCTGTACTCAACACTTTATTTATTTTCTTTACGATGTCTTACCTCAAACTAAATAGCTGCCATTAATGACAAAAGCAAGAATATTTATTTTGCTTCTGTTATTTATGTTTATTGTTGTTGTATTATTATTTTTTGTCGTTTATGTTTATTTATGTCGTTTATATATTATTATATTATTAATAATACTTTTGACTGTACTTTCCTTTCAATGCATTAAAAGTGAAAATTTAATTTTGTATTCTACTCAGTGATTTATAACTTTATTTATAAGGAAGTGCACGATTATTACGATACGATAACGATTACGATATAAATCTAACAATTAATAATTACGAACAAGGAGTAAATATTGACAAAACTTAAGTGTCCTAGTGCAGTTTCTGTACTGCAAAAAATTGTAATACCTAATGTAAACCCGATTAGATATTTAGTACTTTAATTATATCCAAAAATTTAGGATTCCTGCGTATTAATGGCTCCGAAGCCAATATTATGATTTCTTTACTCTATTGGCCATTTCACAAGTAACCGTAAGTAACCTTCGAAGAAACTTTTATATCCCATGTTCAATTAGGTAAGCAGTTCATGAATTTCAAGATAATTTGTGTTTAGCGTATAAAGTAACGGAAAACTAAAACATACTGCATTTTCAGTACCGTTTTCTAGTTACTATCTATACCACGGTAGGTATAGCTATACCATATATGTGACGACAAAATGGACGATCAAGTTTAACGCAACGCAATTTTAAAGATTTCTTACTCTCCCTTCCCGCATGTAACACGCCGTAACATTTTTTGTACCCCCTACGTTAAGTAACAGCCAAGTTAATTTGCCTAAAAGTCCCAATACGAACGAATACTGTCAACGAAAACATAATAACATACAATACAGTTGAGGGATTCCCCGTGAAACATAACCGAAAAGAGGTATCAACTTGGAAAATTTTAGTTCCCTAATTTTATATTTTAAATAAAAAAGATTACGTAACGTGTTATTCAATACCCTTCCTTCCCTTATAATGCATCGTAACGTTTTACAAAACCCCTCCATCACAATTGCATTAAGTAAGACGGAACGCCTCTAAAGTTACTTTGGCAGTTTGTATAATTTTATTTGAAATTGACATTTTGCGAAACATGTATGTAATGCTAAATAGAAAAAAAAAAAATAAACACATACGTCATTACTAGTTTAGAAAGAAAACAAGATAGATCAGATTAAGCACTCACCATCGTCAAACGGCTCCGCGGAGAACTGCTTAATAATGAGGTCCAGCGCTTTACGCGTCACTTTGATCAAAACGTCCACCACCTTCCGACTGTAGTACCTTCTCATCTCGCTTACTGCGTTCTTTACCATTTCCTACAAAATCCAAATTGCGTATAGATATTTAAAAAACGAAACTAAACAGTAACGATGTGTCACGACAAAAAATCATCATTAGCTATTATCCGTTCACTTCTAAACATAGGCCCATACACGGTCATGCATTTGAGATTATCCCTCAATATAGTGGGGGGGAGGGTCGTCCTATACTGCATTTCCCCGTACGGGGTCACCACTCAAGAAACTTTCTTCTCCATCGGTCGTCAGTTCTTCGAGCTATACGCGCAAAAAAAAACTTCACGTACATTAACTGGAATTCAATATTCATAAGGCCACTGATGTTAGTTTTTGGTTTCTCGTAGAAATAATCACAAAACAAAAAGAATGAAAAAGGTATTGTTCGGAGGGAGACTGTACAATAGTGACATCCATTGTGCTGTTCATGTCTATAGGCGACGATTATTACTTTTTGTCAAGTGTTCCTGCTGCTTGTTTGCCATTCTAAGTATCATAACAAAATATTTAACGTCATTATTATCGGATATTGCCGTTTCTAATTGTATTTCCATTTTGACAAATGGTATCAACATGTTACATTTCACAGGCTAGCAGAAGATACATCACAGTACAAGTTACGCATATATCATATAATTTAGGATACAACTATGTGGAACTGCTTGTATCCTGTGCTATCCTAGTCTGCTAGACATTTAAGGGATAAAATTGGATTCGGTTATTCCGCCTACGCTATTTTTACGCTACTAGAGTACTAGTGAGGCATGATGGGTGAAGTTATCTTTACCATAGGGAGACTTTGTACAAAGTTGTCAAATTCCATTGCTAACAGTCCTTTTCTATCTGGTCTAGCATCGTTGTATTTCGGTTTGAAGGCTTTTTTAATGTGCAAGAATGGAATGGTAATCCTGCCTGCGCTATCGGTATTTACTGGTGGGGCAACAATAAAAGATGATAGATGAGAATGAAAGCAGGTCATTTAACCAATCTTGACGAATTTCACTAGAACTAAAAACGATGGTTTTCAGGAGAAACTCCGGGAATGTCGACCTAATTGCTAAATATCCTATATTGCTAGCAATGGAATTGTTACACGTCATCACTAACAATTGCTTTCCCTCTGGTTTGAAGCGTGAAATATTGCAGTCAAATTATAGGATATGGTGTCATAACACTGCTGTTCTCAGCGACATCTATTATCAAGTGGACTGTTAGCTTGTTTGCCATTGTATCATAAAAAAACGTACGCCTTATTGGATAAATGGATCTATGGAAAGGAAGAGGGAGTACTAAGTACCTGCATGCCCTTTGAGAGGCCACCGGCAGGAGTGGAGAGAAGTCGATGGGGATTCTCGAAGCATTCCCAAACAGCTGACCAGTCCTGCTGGCCGCTTGAAGTAGATTCATTCGCTAAAGACGCTGTACCGCTACCACCCCCGGGTTCGTCTGAAGAAAACAATAAATAATTTGTATTTATAATAAGTTATATTAAAAAATATATACTAAAGTAATATATATTATATATAAAAGATTACAAAGATGTTTGTTACATAGAAAATGTAATATATTGATTTATGAGGGCAAAGCCGTGGAATACCGCTATTAATGTACTAAACTCCTTTCGGGTTGCAAGTGTTCTTGGAGACGATAGTCACTTTCTATCAAGTGGTCTGTCTGCTCATTTGCCTCTCAAACAATAAAAAAAAAAAACAGTTTTTGAAAAATTTTACTGTTCGGGATTGTGGTGTAAAGGTTTTAAATTTTTCTCTTAGATCACAAATTTTTGCAACGTACCCGAATACTTCATCGTGATTTAAAGCATTCAATTTATAATTAAGTACCTAATTAATTTAAGCGAAGTAAATAACCTTCGGCAATTAAAAACTCGAAGTCCGGGTTAATTTCTGTAGGTCTAATTTGCTGGGCAGCTTTCTTCACAAGATCCAAAACCTCTTCAACAGCCTCTTCCACCATCAAACTTTTACGATTTAGTTCCACACACGCATTCCTGTTGGACATTATTACAAGAAATTATTAGGGTATTCGAAATTATAACGACCAATTTCCATTTTAGTAAATAGGCAAAGAAACAATGTATCGTCATTCTATTTCATATTAGAATAATGTAAGATCCGAAGAAAAGAATAAAGTACACAAAGCTTTTCGTACGGGAGAAGAAACACTCGAATTAAAACCTTATTTCAATTAGCATAACAATCATGGTAGAAATTGGCAATGAACTTTATTCCTCCTCATACAGAGAGAAAAGCGTCACCATCATTATGTCAGTCGATCGCTTTGGATCTTCTGCGGATATTTAATTTTCGGATTCTATCACGCAAAGAAATTCCGAACATAACCCTTTCCACAGTTCCCTGAGTAACTTGAAGCTTTTGAATACAGGTAACTGTCCATTACCCGTATGCTTCATGCAACTGTGTAGCCATGTAGGGCCATGTTTGGGTTCTGTACACCATCACCGACGACAAGCACTGCTTAAAGACCTTCGTCTTTAAACTTTGGGTATTGTGGATGAGAAAATGTGGCGAGAAGATAGAGAGATACCCGTATTAAACATAAATGGGTTATTATGATTATCACTATTATAAAATTATACATACCGGCATCCTGTTTCGACATTATCGATAAATTCGTCCATGGACCACGGTGTTTCTTCTGAAAATTAGAGAAAGAGAGACAATAAGATGATAGTTATTACTGTTTAATAAATACCAAAAGAATGAAAGGTTCCTGAGTAACGATTCTTTATGGGCAAATGCAGAGTAGGACGACTCACCCGCTAGATGGAGTGACCTGAAATGCATTGCAGGAAGTCTACGGGCACAACAGCTGATATGATGATAATGATGAGTAAATACACCAAAAAAGTGTTTTACTTTGTTAAATATTATTAAGTGACAATATTTGACGTCGAGTACAGATGTATGGATATTCTATGTTTATATGTCGTTATATTTATATATGTAACTCAACTGTCAAATGCATTGCATAATCTTGTTGTTGAAGGCATGAATGGTCTGCGTTATTCTGGTATCATCTAGGAGGGAGTTCCAAGGTTTAGCAGCGTGTACTGTACTGTTGTAAATATGAATCTATATCTTATTTTATGAGTAAACTAGGGACCCACCTCGCCTCACGCAGGTATATAGTAGTAGAAGATTGCAATTGTATTCATTCATAAAATAAAATATGGCTCATGCTAAGAACTCATGTTACTCGCTGACAATGTAACTTTCTATAGATGAAAGGATTTTTTAAATCGGTTTAGTATTTTCTGACTTTATTCGTTACAAATATTTTTTTTTTCTTTTTATAATATTAGTTGTAAGTAGGTACTCATTTCTTACAACAATGCCATTACATGTATTGCCTAATAATATATTATATATAATAATTCTCACAGGATGGATAATAGAAACATATGTACCTGGCAAACTTATCAGTGTAACTTCTTGCATACCAGACAGTACATAAATAATTCTGTTTGTGTAAATATCATGGACTCTGGTTACGAGAACGTCGAAGCATTTGATAGCGGTATTGGCGCGATCGATAAACTCCTGCCAGTCCTCGCTGGTCCAACACACGGAACGCAGCCCGGGGAGCAGGAGGGAAGATAGCCGGACCACTTGCGGTAGAAAGAGAGGGCGAACCTCCAGCATTACACGGCGAACTGTCCGCAAGTAGTCCTCCAGGAGGAACTAGAGAAACAAAGAGTATTTTTTCGTAATGTAACATTTCGCATTATGCATCATAATTGTTGTTCATATATTATACTGGTTCAGTCATTGTTTTAAATAAAAATTTAAAATAGACGTCGCATACATACAAAAAATTCGGTTGAAAGGGTAGGATATGGCAGTGAATTTACAGGGTACAAAGGCATAACGCCGTAGTCCTCAGGAATGTGAACGCAAGGGAGGTATTATGGGCGAATCAGTATACTCTGTTATGTCCATAGTGTTTATGTCTATAGGCGACGGTTACCACTTTCCATCAGGTAGGCCATCAGCTTGTATGTCATTTTAAATTGCATAAAAAGATTAATAAATTATATTCACTATATATCTAGTCAAATTAAAAGAGTAAAAAAACAGAGGAAAGATAAACTAGAACTAAATTCCTGTATAAACTATAATATGTAATAGATTTGACATAATGTTATCTTTATTGAAGTAGAATCTATTATAAATTTATTGTCGTTTATAATTTTACTAACATTTAATATAATTCTGTATTTTTTGTTTGAACGTTAAGATGTAAAGATGTTTAGATGTTTAGAACTTTTCAAGCATTATAGAAAAAAATCTAAAGCTTAAACTAATAACACCCTTATTAGTTTATCAAATGGTATCTTAAATTTAAAATACAACCACCATTACTACAACCACATTACATCCATCATTGTGGTATAAAATGAATACGTGAATATTTTTCCTAGAGACACATTGATCGTTAAACGATTAAAAATTGTAAACTTCCCACAGTAACACAGCGCTCCACAGTTAACATGGAAGGCTCAATACATTTTGTCGCTTTTGAATTTTTAATTCGCAAAATATCTACTCTTATATTATATTATATAGCTTAGGTAAAATTTTAATTAAACATATCGCCAATAACTTCGACTTCACCTTGTTCAATAATAAAATATTGTTTATATACCTGTAGGGAATCATTGATAAGTGTAAAGTAATTCTTCTTAGCGTAGAGAGAGTGACAGACGATAGGTAATTCTATGCCCATCTTGACGAGACAGTCCGACTCCCTAATGAGGAGTTTGATGGCGTGATCCAAGTTCACGCTGATGCAGCCGCTCTCATCGATCTTCAGTAATGTGTTGTTTAAACTGTCGTCCACATCCCATAACTAGGAAGAAAATAAGAAGAAAATTTTTTAGATAAACATTTTATGTCACAAAGTATTCTGTGGTACTGTGCATGTCTATAGGCGACTGTTACTACTTTCCATAAGAAGAGTCATCAGCTTTTTATAAGAAAAGAAATCATTAAAAAAATAATTAATTATTATATAAAATAAAAAAAAAATTAAGTTTGAAAATTTTGTTTGCTATTCTAAGTGTGATAAAAAATATTTTTGTAGCATATTTTACAAAAGAACACATACGTAGTCTAACTACGATATGTCAATTGCAAATAGATCGTGCCAGGAAACAAATCAAAGACAAGATTTTTAAATTTGATTCCAGTTTTAATTCGCTTTCTTTTATCTATGATGTACATTACCAGGCCCAAGATTCTGAGTTGAATTTATGACACTTACATTTTGGTTCATCCAGACTGCTCTCATGGTCTCCTCGTAGTTGTGTATAAGCGTCCTGGTGTTCGTGTATTTACGCATCATGTCGGCAGCGGCCGGCAGTGTACGCAACACCGGATGAGCAGACACACTTTCCACTGTCTCTGTCATATTATGCATCAGGCAACGCGACCATTTGATGCGACCTGCGTTGAACCATACGAATAGAGAATATTGTTACACAACTTAGGGTGCAAAATATTATTATGTACCGTACGGTGTACCTGATAGAAAATGGTAATAATTTTCAAAATTGGATCAATAGTACCGGAGATTGCTCGAACATCCAAACTCACAATATTTATCTCCTTAAAAATTTTAATATAGATATGCATAACATAATGCAACAAATATGCATAAATTCACTGAAATTTTAATATAAATATCGATCGTGTTCTAAACTTTTAATTTTATTTCCAGAAAATGCTCTAGATTTGGGACATTAAAAGTTTCAACTGAATTTTCGAGTCACGCGAAGTACATTAGTACAATTTAAAACTATATACTACACTTTACACCGTACAAACCTGCGACTGGCGAGTAATTTCTAGGTAACGGCGGATCCTCTTTTTGTCTTTTGAACATTTTCATTATTTTGTCCACCTCCTTTTCGCAATATCGTAACACTCTGTCGTATTTTTCACTCAGTTTTGTGATTAGGATCTTCTGACTCACCTGAATTATGGATAATTCTGAATCTTAGACACAGTATACTTTGTAAGTCATGAATGAATGTAACTTTTAGACGTTAAACTGTTTGTATGAACTCGTATATTGAGTGACGACGAAGAGAATATACAATGTGTATTCATTCATTTTCATTTAAGAGTTTCCTCTTGTCGGTGCAACTAATGTGTATATCATCCATTAAAAAAAAATCCTATTGCGAGCAATATACCCTATCAGATCGACCTCCACCCGATGCCCCCTAGACACCATCGCGATTAATTCTTGTTGAATTCGTCACTATGCTTATTACGTTATACGGGCTTATTGACCAGATTCATCCTTAACTTTCAATCCTCACTGGCCCTTTCCCAGCGTATGCCAATATCATAAATTGAGTTACCAATCTATATTCACCCATTTAAAGAAAAATCCTGCAAATGTAGAAGCATACTCATATTACCTCTTCTTATGGACAAAGACCAGTACCTAGTGGACGTTAATTGAAAGTTTTTCTTTCTTTATTATTGTATGATTAAGATGTAATAAACTGGTGACAGTTTTGTATACTACTAAATTCTCTAGATAGATACATTTTAACTTGTCTATTTCTCAATTATGGCCGTATCAAAAATAGGTGGCCTTGGTATAAAATAGGTCACCTTCCTTTCCTGCTAGTGTTGTAAGAAGCAATTAAGAACTTAATAACCGAAGGATGGACAGCAGCATTCCTCTTTAAACATCATCAAAACTAAATTGCACTTGCCAAGCATAGCAACTACTGGCGAATACCCAATAGAGGTAGACGTATATTCAGCAGTAGACAGTCAACAACTAATATGATGATGATGATGATGACGATTTCTAAATTAAGTTAAAAATATATTGGTTTTTAGAAGATCACTTACTTTTTCGAACCTGGTCAGGAATTTGATGCCCTGCGGTGTTTCCCACACACTTGAAAAGTTAATTTCAATCGTATTTCCAATAGATTCGCGAAGTGCGTTCGTTTTCTCCTCGAATATCTGGTAATCTTTATCGAATTCGTTGTTCCTGTAATCTAGATAGTCGTATTGGCAAGTCGTCACAGCTTTCTTTGCTTCTCCAAATGTGTGCATGGCCTCTTCTAAGTCTACATGCAAAATAATTAAAAAATATTGTTGTACATAGGTCTTCCCAATGGAATATTATTGTCTATATATATAATTCTTATTTTTTTGTTCTTATTTCTGTTTCTGTCTTATTAATTATTCTTTAACTCAAAAACTTAACTGGCTTTTTTGGGTCCTTAACAAAATGACGCATCAATAATTTCTAGTAAGGTAGTAATTAAAATTACTAGATAATTTCTAATATCTACTATCTAACCACATTAAAATACACATATTTATTTAATAAAGTACCATATCAGCCGTTAGCTGTTCACTGCTGAATATAGGACTTTCCCATAAGGCTGGTTTTACCAACCAAGGTTGTTTTAGCAACCACAATTAGGTTTTGGTGATGTTTTAAGAAGGATGCTGCTCATCCCCCAACTATTAAGTTCCCTTAGTTGCCTCTTACGACACCCACGAGAATGGAATGGGCCACCCTTCCTATACTGAGACCACAAGGCAAAAGGTACTACATAAGTCACAAATTCGGCCAAAATACCACATATACAGTTGAATTACTATAATTATTTATATTTATTGAATGTAACGTGAAAATTATAAATATATACAGCGTGGAACCGAAATCGTTAGCATTTCTTCAAAGGAAGCAAAATTTAATATTTTTACTAAAGAAATATAAGCGAAAACAGGTACCATTGTTAAATTAAAAATGTTAAGACAATTTTTTTTATGTTATTTTTTTATTTTTCATTCACTTAATTTCTGTCCTAATATGTGCTATAGCATGAATGGTTTCTAAGTCTTAGGTGACGCTAAAGATTTTGTTTTTTCGTAAATAAAAATAAACAGACAAAAGTACATATTTATATAAAAAAAAATCGTATATATTGTAAATATTGTTGCAAACTTACCCTCTCCCAACAACAATCCTTCCATTCTTTTCTCAAACAGATTATTGTAGTCATCCATGAGATCAAATATGGCGATAATTTTGTTTAGTCTTTTACAAAACGTATCGAATTTTCCGAATACATAGTTCTCTGAGAAACTGAATTGCTCCGTGTTAGGTAGGAATGGTTGGTTCTTCACGAACAAGTACGTTTCCCTGTACGTCTTGTTAAGATTGATGCAGTGGATTAATTTTTCCCTGACCACGGGCCGCTCTTGGGACCATATGGTCTCTTTGAAGCGACATGTTATGTATTGTTTGCAGGTGTCGATCATTTGATTCGTGATCTGTGATTAAATTTACATCGTGTATCTATATCAAAAATTTCGTAACATAAATATTAAAATAATATAATAATCGCTCCATTATCTTATTAATATATAAAAAAAAAATATTTGCATAAATATAATTTTTGTTTTAGATAGTCCACTCTGAAAATATGTCAAAACTTGATTTAAGTATATTAAAGTCAATATAGTAAAGTAATTATTAAATTTGTTAGTGTCAAGAATTTTGAAGAATAATAACTAATGTGTCATCTACAAAAATAAAATATGGATAATTGGTTATGGGGATGTCACTGTGATGAATTATGAAGAGAAAAGAAATCGATTATTATTAATATATAACAAAAATAAACACGGGCCTAATATATTTTGTCTGTCATCTTAAATAATAAGTTATAAATATTGGTCGTATATCTTGCGGTTGAGTTACCTAGAAAACAAGAAAAACAAACGCACAACTTATAGCGTTTTATGAGTATATGTTTGATTTATTCCCGGATTTAGAAAGCGTTTCAGACAGGCAAAAAATATCGAAAGGATTATATGAAAATTTGTTGATACAAAATTCAAATATTTGCAATATAATTAACAAATCAGTGATATTTTGATGAAATAACACACAGTTATTTGTTTTATTAGTCATATCATTTCTTTCAAAAAATATCCTACACAGAATAGATACACATACATACATTAGTACCTCTCTTACATTTGATAAATTTCTGTTTTTTTTTTTCTTATTGGTAAATAATAAGGAATTGTACCTTTCAGTCTTAAATCGATTTGTATGAGGTCAGTGTGTATGTGTTGTAATATTTAAAGTCCATAATTAAATTATTTTTTTTTTTCAGATCACTATTAGATACCTCTTTTGGTCATAACGAAGAAATATTTAAAAAAGAACAGTTTTCAAAATTTTCGCAAATATTTTTCAGAAGACTATTATGCATGGTATGCATTCATTTAGAAATTTGTTTTTTATTATCTTCAGGATAATTTCAATAACATTTTCTTTTTAAATATTTTTCAGAGCTGTCAGTAGTGGGTATATTTTTACCAATAATATCATAAAATCATTTCATTATTTGTAGAATCCTGTAAATTATGATATAATTTAATTAATTCATCCAAGAGACCATCCGGTTTCGTTATGGATGAAATATTGTACTTTTTAAATTTTGAGTCTCATATAGAATAATTATTTTGATGCTAAACTGTTATGTCGTTCGTCGTTAATAGTTAATTTCGGACTTATACTGATTTTCACATGTTTTTAATGTAACGCCATCTAGTGATACCCCTTTAAAACACTACAGATCTTGTTCAGTAAATAATTAAAATTAAAATCAACTTTTTCTTTTTGGATTTACCGCCATCTGTGTTATTTTCTTTGCTTTACTTCAATCTAAGATGCTACTCGAATCTAATAAAATAGCTGTGGTATTGAACAATAAGTTGTTTTTTTAGAATTTTTTATGTGTCTTTTTTCTTCAACAAATTAATCTCATTTTAGCTATTGTATTTTCATAATTAACTGATTTTATTAAGAGATATTTTATCTTGAATTAAAATACCGATGGAGCATGCGCATCTGTGAGTTGGTCTTTTAACTTTTATTGCCTCTTTTAACTCTTCAATATTAAAAAAAAAAGCATTGAAAAACCTGAATAAATATATGAAATAATTATAAGAATTCTTTGTTAAAAGTTAGATAAGTCAAAGTAAATCAAAATAAACGTTTCTTAAATTCTTACATTACAGAATGAAAAAGGTGTGTAAATTTATAAGCATCAATTCGTCTAATAAAAAGTAGGTATATTTAAAAGCAAATTAAATTAATGTACATACTTTCACCATCAACGAAGAAATCCTCTCCGAAGTATTATAAAATTGTGACACACTGTGAATTAATCTGACTGTTTGTAGCAGACTCAATATGGAGTCCTTAATTTTAACTGGATCATCCAAATATAAAGAATGACAGCATTTCTCCATAGCTTGAATGAACTTTGCATTATCTTTAGCTTCATTATAACAGAATGTGATTTTGTGATCTGTATCTCGCCAGAGCTTTATGACTTTGGAGTTTGATAGTTGGAGGCAGGTAAGCGTTAGCTGAACTTCTGAGTCCTAAAACATAATTAAAAATTTTACGTTAATGGTACTAAGTGGATTTGGGACTTATCTTTATAAATGAAGACAATCTGTTTCTCAATAAAATAAAAGTTCTTATTCTAAATTGTTTTCTACTACAGGTTTATTCTTTTCTACGGAGTAATACAAGTGCATTACTTAAAAATATTAAAGTATTATTTTTGTTATTATCCTTAGATTCCAATTAGCTACATGTTATTTAAAAAAAATCGTAACTATAGTCATGGGTTCGATTCTTGGTCTGACTATTTTACGAAAAGATTTTTTGCGAATTAGCTTTAGTCTGGGTGTACTATATTTATTTATTTATTTTTTGGAAAACGTACAGCTGAATTACAGTCAATACATAATCAAATTTATATCTATGTTAAGCCATGAATCGTTTTCACATTTGTATATTGTCTACAGTTATAACAGAGTATCTTAGCATGAGAGTCAAGCAATTAGTGTGATTCATCATCACCATCGTATCAGCCGTAAACTGTCTATTGCTGAACATAAACCTTTCCCATAATCTTCCCATTGAAGGGGATAGCCAGTAGCTGCTATTCTTGGCAGGGGTTTTTTTTTAATGGGTGATAATGAAATAGTAACTACACCGGCGGGGCACCAGTGAAGGATGATAGGTGAAGATGAAGCAGGTCAGTTAGCCCATCGTGACGAATTCAACGAGAATTGTTCACGATGGTTTCCAGGGGGGACCACATGGAGGTCGACCTGATAGGGCATAATGCTGGCAATGGGGCTGTCAAACTCCATTGCCAACAACCCCTTTCCACCTGGCAAGGGGGTTGGCAATCAGCGTTGGGCTTCGGTAATGTTTTAAGAGGGACGTTGCTGCCTATCCTTTAGTCGTCTGTTATGACACCCACAGAAAAAAAAGGAGTAGTCCATTGTATGCCTAGACCACACGGTATTAGTGACTATGTGATACTTATTATGGTATTAATAATGAATTAATCACAATAATTAAAATACTTTTTATGTTATAAAATGAATTTAATAACAAAAAAAGGTATTTATTTGAGAGTTTCAGAGGCTGTGTGCACTATATAGTACGTACTTGTAAGTAGGAGACAAGCTGTGAAAATTGGGCTCCTCTCTTCTTCCAGTACTCCAGTTCATCTTGAGGTCCGCTTGAGTCCACTTCGCGTCTGAGTTGTTCGCTTTCACTCAGGATCTATTTTAAAACAATCAAGTTTATATTTTACATACATTAGTTTATAGGAGTTTAAATAAAAAAATCTTTTATATTTTTTTACATTGCTGAAAATTACTTTTCTGTGAATATTAACATAATTTTTTTTTTATTATTTAATTAATACACAGCTAAAAATTATTCCTGAATTTAGCTTAATTTTACTAATATAAAAAAAAATTAACTAGATGTTATCTAGATTCGGGAGATAGTTAAGAATAATTCATATAAGGAGCCTTAATAAGATAAAACGAGAAGAAAATTTCTGACTGCCTGTATGTTTGTTCCGGCTTATGCAAAAACTATTGTTTCAGATTGGAAGGTGTTTTATTATATATAATAGCATATTTATATTATTAGAGTTTTAACTTAAAATCTATTGTAACATAATACCTCATTTGATACTGATATAAAAGAAAACGCGTCTTTTAATTCTAAAAAAAATTTAAAAGTTTTGATCTTGAGAATAACAAACTTCAAGTCTTATGCGTCTAGAAATGATTTCATTTTTGGTTTTCCTACTTTTTATTTCATTGGTTTTCGCATTTAAATCATTCATCATTTGAATGATGAATAAGTATGTATACTCACATTATAATTGGGTAAACCAATTAACATGTTATATTTTTATTGCAATGAATGTCCGATTTGATATTTGTAATTTATAAGTATTAAATCGGGCAATAGGTATGTACTTACAACGTTATATTATACCTTTAAAGCGTATTGGTGTACATGATCGATTTAGCGAATAATCTGCGTGTAGAAAATAATCTTTGAGTTATAAAAACAAACTGAGTAAACTAGTTCGGATCTTAACAATAATCAAATACATATCTATCATGCCTGTCTCCCATTAGGGTAGCTACAGTGCAATGCTAAATGCGTAGCTTCAAACAGATCTCTTTCGATTCCTCTTCATTCTTCAATCTTTTCGTACACACTCGCTGGTTAATTAAATATTATTAATAAATATATTTGATAGCAATCGACAACTTGTTAAAAATTAAATATTAAATTTTGAGAAAAAAAATTGTGTACACATTAATTGATCGAGTAATCGACCACTCTAGTATTACAAATTAATATGGCATAATTAATGACTTGTACCAAAACTCAAATGCACAATCCCATTTAAAAGTTACGCAACTGTCCTGAGTTTAAATTGAAAAATATAATAGTTATTATAAGTCAAGACATAACTGCAGCTGAATATTTATTATTTATTTATAAATAAAAAATATATGAGTAAATGTCATATTAAAATAAAATTTGTAAGAATGACATGTTTGATTACAAACATCACTGGATTATTAGAAATGATTACATTTGGTTATACGCGCTTTATTTTCAGTTTGGTTTCTCAGTTTTTAATTTGTATATGTATCTAGAGTTATTTTAATTCAATGGGAGAAATATAAAAAATATATTTTTTTATTTATTTCTTTACACGAAATGACTTTGTCTTACCTGATGTCACATTTAAAAAAGTTATTAAATTGAGGGTAGTTGCAGTCTCTTAACAGACATAAAACGCGATATTAAAATTTTTGACCAAAAACGGTACATATAACTAGGATTTCAATTGGCTTCCTGGGTCAGCAGTCTCGAGGGAAGCCAGCACCTGTGCTAAGCTGGTCAAAATTAGCACGTTCCCACCATATAAGAGCATGGAGTCAAAACTCTGATATGCTTATGACTTAGTGCCTGATGAATTTAGTACAAAGAAGGAGTGTAGACCTCCGAGACAAAGCACATAACCTTCTGGTTAACTCGACCCCACTTTTTATTTTTTTTTTCCTTAATTTTTGCATGAAACATTCCCCGAAATCTGTGTGGTCGGGATAAGATTATAATGACTGGGATAAAGCGTAGCCTACGTCCTTTTCCATTTCAAATAGTACATGTGTATCAAGTTATTTTATAACGATTGGTGATGCCGTTAAAACGCCAATAATTTTTTTTTTATTCAACTTAGAATGACAAACAAGCTGACGGCCCACTTGATGGAAAGTGGTAACCGTCACCTATAGACATGAGTAGTACCATGGACATAACAAAGTATACTGTTTCGCCCATGATACCCCCCATGCGGTGCCATTCCTGAGGACTCAGGTGTTATTCCTCTGTACTCAGTAAACTCACGCTATATCTCACCCTTTAAACCGAAACACAGCCATGCAATCACAACTGCTTCACGGTTGAACTGCTACACGAATGGGACAGAGGTACCCAAGTAATTGATTTTTGTTCACTTACTACTACTATTACTATACTACTTCATTTATTGGGCCGATTTCGGTATGAACAAAAACATGAAATGGACTACAAAAATTAGGAATTTCATTTCATGGTAGACCCCCAGTATACTGGGCTGCGTAAACCAGTTCATACCAAGCTGGTCAAAATTGGTGTCCGATCGATTAAAGATTGACAAGTGGCGAAGTATGACAACCGTGGATCCCACTTTTTACTTTTAAACTTTACTATTTTAAATTTGATTTTATTGTAGTTGTGATCTAGCAGCGGTCCGATGGTCGTGAATTCAATCTCCGCACAATACAAAATTCAAAGTGCAATCACCTTTATTCAAACAGACTTTTTTTTTATTATTTTAAGGGCTTTTACCTTCTTCAGGTATATCAGCCCTATCGTACCTTGATTTCTCAAACAAAACTTTATCTTCTTTGAAATACACTTGTTCACAAGTACTTTTAAATCATCATTTCTTTCTAAATCTACTGCAGAATTCAGAAAGTTGTTATCTGGTTAATTCTTTGAAATTATAAGTGGGCTGTATTTTTTGTTGTAGATATTTTTAACAGGTAACAGCTATTACGTAGAATGAATAAAAGCAGATAAGGTCGAAGTGATAGTTTTAATTATATTATATTTCAGATCAACGTTCATAAAATTATAATCGGACTTCACTTAAGGTAAGTTCGTCCAATTGTTAAATTTTTTTTAGCTTTTGTTGTTGTTATGCATTGTATAATAATTACAAAGAAAAAATACAAAAGTTAAAATACTTTCTGATTATCTGATTATTGATATCAATATGAAGTCAAAATGTCTTGAACGATTATAAATTTTCAACCGAGGTAAAAAAAGGGGGTTCTTAATTTATTTTATTTTATATTTTATTGAATTACTTACCTCCATGACTTTTTTTATCCATTCATTTACACGATCCTCCAACATTGTAATAGTGTTAGGATTCTTTGTCATTTCCTTCAGATCATTAGGATCCTGAACATCAGCCATGTGCGTTTGGCCATCGTCGAACAAGTTTATTTGATTGCACACATCCTCGCAAACTGTTAAAATATAAATATGTATTAAAAAGTCGTAGGTATAATTTATAACTTAGAAAATATTTAAAGGAAAAAATTGTGACAAGAATCGTGAATACAAACATATAAATGACAAGCTCCTTACTTTGTTGTCTAAAAATTGAAGCTTCATAGGCCTACTTTTAAAAATCGCTTAAAAATAAATATACTTTCCCCAAAGTATTGACTACTTTCTGTCCTTAACCAAAACTAACCTTTCAACGCACTGCAGAAGGACCTCAACCCCGGCAGCAGTTGATTCTTCACTATAGGGAACCTGGTTTCGTCTTCGTCACCATCACTACTTGGATGGGCCAGAGCGTTCATGTAGACGTGTTCCATTACTCGTTCTATAGCAGTTACCAAACCCACTTTTTCAGCGTTTAAAATGCCACAAAATCTAAGAAAGAAAAATGTATATGATATGTATATCAATTACTATAAATATTGTAAACCTTTACGTATTTGATTTACTTACAAATCCTTATGAAAACCTTCTTCCGGTAGTTGCTTACTGACATTAATTCGAAACATATAAATACACACTCCTGTAAATCTGACATCCCAGCCATCTGATAAAAATAGCTTTTTCTTCAACGTCACTTGAGGGGGCGGCTGCTTTCCCTGCCCTTGTTGTCGAGGTTTTCCACCGTCTAATGACCTTTGTTCTACTTCTTCTACGTCTTGGTAATACCAGAGAAGTTTATTCCTCATATGTGGCAAAAATAATTGATTGATATCATCCAACTGAGAAAAAGAAATATTGATTAGTCAGGCACTACACTCCATCATAAATTATCTCAATTACCTATGGAGAGTTGTTCTCACCATATTTCCCTCGAAAACGTGATCCATAATTGCGTGACGTGGTAAGCCTGTGCCATCTATCAGAAGTTGAAATGTAAACTCCAATCTGGGGTCCATTTCCCCCCTCCTTGCTTTGCGCTCGCATTCTTCTCGCCGTTTCTAGAAATTAATTGATATTTATTTATTAAATACTTGATTATCACCACACTCCTATAAATTTAAAGAAATTGTTGTGCTCTGCAAGTGAAAAATCTCAAATATAGTGGACAGGGTAGGGCTTATAAAAATTCGACGATGGTGACATTTGGCAGACCTGAAGCAAATCCATAACGTCTATTTCTTCTTCCTCACTTGATCCACGTTTAATCCCTTGGACAAACATTTTTGCGGTTAAACTTTGTTGTAGCGGTTAAATTCCACCTGATTATGAAGCGACAGCTCTCAAACAATAGTGCCGAAGCAATTTCTTTGAGAAATACAACCTACGCTCGAGACAACTTCTCCTAAACCAAATTTCTACAACAGTGAACTTTCGATAACTTCACTTGGTGTTTGCGTGAGCGCTTCCTCGTCTTATTGTTTATCTGTCTTGGTTTTGTTCCTGTTTGAAAGTTTTCAGTAGACTTATTGACTTTTTGTGAAAGCCTGACATGTAGCGAGGGAACTATCCAGCGACAACGGCTGAGCAAGAATAGGCGAAACTATTGTTGTAATATGCAAATTAAACGGACAAGTAGAGTGTCATTATAAGGGAAGGGGGTGGTACGGCGTCGCACTTGCTTGTACTAATCCTGGAGGTAGCACGCAATGTCTTCAAACTGTACGTCTTTGATTAATTTGCTTTGGTGTAAGGCGCGAAGTTATAAATAGGTACCTATTGTTATATATAGTTTTTGTAAGCCATGGAGGTCTGTATAAAAATTATGCCCTAATGGATTTTCCATTTGTGTTAAATATAAAATATATTTGACCTGAATCTGTTTTACTTTGTTAGTGTGAATAAAATCTCAATGAGAATATCAAGCTCGACGTAAGTTTATCCTTGGGATTAAGTCTCCATATACTTTAAGACAAAAAAATAAAATTAATAATGTTATATTTATTGTGTGGCATAAACTAAAATACCAGAGGGAGACTTTATACAAAAGTCAATTGTTTGGGTACCTCTGTCCCATTCATGTTTCAACCGTAAAGCAGTTGTGTTTGCATGGCTGTGTTTCGGTTTGAAGGGTGGGATATGGCGTGAATTTACTGGGTACGGAGGAATAACACCTGAGTCCTCACGAATGGCAACGCATGGGGGGTATCATGGGTGAAACAGTATACTCTGTTATGTCCATGGTACTGCTCATGTCTATAGGCGACGGTTACCACTTTCCATCAAGTGGGCCGTCAGCTTGTTTGTCATTCTGAGTTGAATAAAAAAAAAACTAAAATATCTATCATAGTAAAGAACTCAACAGTATACTCAAACATTTTGAACTGTTTACCAAAATTCTATTCTATTCTTTGAACCCTAACAGACTTGCACACTTAAGAAAGTTAGAATTAAACGTGATAGCGTGTAGACAATCACTAGGGTAGCTACAATACTAGAAACTTGATACGAAATTCTTCAGACTTATTGTTATAATTCTAATCCTATTAATGTTATAAATGTGACAGTTTGTAATGATGGATGGATGTTTGGTAATTGTTCACGCAAAAACAATTAAACGGATTTTAATGAAATTTGAAATACGGGTAAGTTATATTTAGTTTAACTTAGCATATAGTATATTTCACATGTTTATTGCTAATATAGCTGTGTTTTATTTAATGTGTAAAAATGGAATGGTGACCTCGCCTGCGCTATCGCTATATGCTGGCGGGGCACCAGTGATAGATGATAGACGAGGATGAAGGCAGGTCAGTCGGCTCATTGTGAGGAATTTGAAAAGAAATAACCACGATGATATTCAGGGGGAACCGTGTGAAGGTCGACCTGATATATAGCTTGCAATGGAACTGTTAAAATCCATTACTAACAAACCCTTTTCCTCCAATACAGTCGCGTGGTCTCGACATAGAAGTATTACCCCTTCCTTACCCGTGGATATTGTAAAAAGGGCTTAAGTGAACTTAATGGTCGATAAATAGGTAGCAGCATCTCTCTTAAAATATCACCAAAGCCTAACTACGGTTGCCAACCTGCTTACCAAGCGTGGCAACAACGTTTCTGCAGTGGACAGTTAACGGCTAACATGATGATTATGAAGTTGTTGATTCATGAGGGTCATGCCCGTAACATACAGTTAGTAATAAATAAAAGGGAAAGTAGAGTAGACATGTTATCATAAAGATTTTAGAGTACATTAGTAAGACGCTTATTAGTAAGATATGCGTTCTAATTGAAAGACGTGTATACAATTCACAAGACAAGCCTGGATGAAGGATTTGTAATACAGTTGAAAGTGGTTGGAGATACAAGAGACCTTTAGCAATCGATTTCCCCTTTAAGGCAGTGGCATGAAAATAATTACATATAGATAATGTATTTTAATATAGAGGCAATTTCTATTCCCATTTTGAGTTATGAAATTATGTCTGAAAATTAAAGCAATGTTGATTACTTATTCGAATTGCATGCCACAACACACATGTAGAAGATAGTCGTAGGGAGCGGAGAAAAAAACATTTTTTATTATCTCTTGCTCATATACACAAGTTTTTTAATTATACTTTCAATAATACAACTGTCACAACAGCATCCAATTTGGTGTAGTAGTTTTTGAGTGAAGCGGGAACAAATACACAAACAGACAGGTAGACAAATTCAAACTATTATGAGTAATGTCATGTGACAGTTGAAATTCCTGTTGGAAATATTTTAAGTTTCTTTGTACATGAAGGTCCAGAGGCTTTGATATACCAGAGCACCTATAACCTACCACACGAGGGCTATTTGATACGTAGAAATAACAAAGGATTTATTTTATTGAACTGAAAATGCAATATATCAAAATTTCCAAAGCAGTTATTTAATTCTGGATACCTTGGAAGTTTAAAGTTTAGTTTAGAAATAAAGTTTTAAGTACCGTCAGTATAATTAACTCAATCAAAGTCTGTCGATGTCCAATAATCAAGGAATTAATGGAATGTTTCGATTTAAATAGTATTTCTTTGATAATTTCTACAAAAATCAGGAATTTTTTTACTAAACCTTATTTTTCTCCTAGATTCTAATGAACTCTTTGAATTTATTATAACCTGGTATTTTGTCGATATTTGTCCCTTGTTCGTAAAATTGTTGAACATGCGCAGTGTTACGTTACACCACTTACATTTTTCTTATCAATGAAATCCTAACCATTATAGATTCTTGGTTATAAGTGAAAATTCTATTTTCAATCTTAATATATTTATATGAAGGTAAAAATTAAAGTACAAAAAAGTAATAGGTGTATTTTTAATGTACTTTCTGTTGTTTATAGTAGCCTAGTAAATTGTACGACAAAAGTTACGTTAGGTTGTAAATGTGTAAAAAATAATTTGTAAACGTTAAAATTTACATTGTTTTTAATTTCTACGTTATTTATGTTACGTATTTTCTTTATATAATTGAATTCTTGAGTGGAGATCAAAATTGTATTTTCAATCTTATTACGTTGACACGAAGGTAAATGTGATAACAATATTAAGTTCCCTTAGTCGCCTTTTACGATACCTACGAAAGGAAGGGAAAGGAAGCGGTGACGCATTTTAAACCGGAACCACGCGGTTACGCCTTTTTATTAGTTAGGGAAATACTCTTATTAGCAAAAAATATACACAAGTAGATGAGTTTCACAAAAAAGCAACAAATACAAAAGAAGGAACTAAAAAATGCAAGTGGTTTAGTGTTACGGCCATCAATAATATATTAAGATAAAATGTCCGAAAACATTTAAGAAACTTTGTTACTTTTAAAAAAATATTAATTATAAATAATATCCTTGATATTATAATTTATTAAAAGTATAAATTCTAATATTGTGTTTGAACAATAGTAAATAATCATATATAAAAAATGAAGTATACATGAAGTTTTACTCTTTTTACAATTATACTAACTTATTGCCTACTATTTCGTATAGCATATTTACGCATAGTTTCAGAAGTAGTCAAATCAATAATAACCTTTTAGATGTCGTATCAAGATAAAACTGACACTGGATTTTAAGTTGCATCGATCTTAAGATGCATAACTGCGATTACTTCATACAATTTGGTGCACTACTTTTTGCGTAGTGTCGGACAAACAGAGACAACAACAGAAGAGTTATTGGCTGATAGAGTATAATATAGTAAGACGACAAAAATTCCGCCATGGAAAAGTTATTATACAACAGTATACTTCAGGCTGAACTTCCACATATTCTTTGGTTTTGTGGAATCAAAATTAATAGATATAATATTAAATTAGCTATTCGACTTCGATTTGGCCATTAATCTATCAAAAAAATTTGCACATATGATGGGAAAGTCCTGCTCATTTCATTGTCCAGTTTGTGATACCGTCAATGATATGCAACATATACTATTAGAATGTCGTATAAACTCGAAGGAAAGAATAGAATTCATGCGTCACTATAACTCAATTAAATTTAATATTGATCTTTTCTTTTATATTCTATCTTTTATATTCGAAGCATTGGGATCCTTGGTGTCAATACCTATAGTAATGTACAATTCCGTGGCCACCTCGAAGATAAGGTGAAGCTGGCATCCAAAAAACTCGGTGTACTCAATAGAGCGAAGCATTACTTCACGCCGGATCAGCGATTAATACTCTACAAATCGCAAATCCGGCCCCGCATGGAGTATTGTTTTTACTTATGGGCCGGAGCTCCTATATACCAGCTTGAACCCTTCGACTCGTTCCAACGAGCTATGAGAATTATCGATGACCCCAGGCTCACAAGCGGTATCGAACCCTTAAGTCTTAGGAGAGATTTTGCCTTACTCTGCGTGTTCTACCGCTTGTACAACGGCTTGTGCTCAGAGGAATTGTTCAATAAGATGCCCACAGCCACTTCTACCATCGTACGGCTTGCTATCGTTCATCCTCATATCCTACAACTTCAATGGTCGCATACTGCGCGGTTTCAGAGATGTTTCTTTCCACGAACACTCAGGAT